CAAGCACGTGGTTACCTGTACTGGTTTGAATCTGATGAAGACACATCGGAGGTGACTCATTTGTTCCTTGTGCATCCTGATTGTGCTGATATGATTTCGTCTTGGCCATCTGTGATTCTGATCGATTTAACGTACAAGACAAACAAGTACAGTGAAATCGCTGATGGTAACTGCGGATTTCGGGTCGTGGCTGATGTGTTTCAGATGGGTGAAGACAACTACGGTTTAGTGCGTCAGTTGATGTACAGTGAAATCGCCTCAAACCGAGGTGTTTATCGCCATGTGTATGGCCAAGACTTGGATAGGTCTCTGCAGCATACCCGGTGGGGAGGAGGACCTTGCGGTCAAAATCATTGGTTCGACGCGCCACTTGATCTCTTTGCCGTTGCAAACATCTACAAGTGTGCAGTCATGCATTTCGGCCTTGGTTTGCATAGTCGAGCTTATTATCCATGTACCACGGTTCTGCCTTGGTGTTCGCGTGAGACCGTCACCAGACCGGTAAGAGAGGTTGCTATTTGATTTCTGGGGCCGTCATACAGACATTTCATCCGATTGGACCTGTCATCCGATTTTTCGATCCCACCGATCATACCGAAGTGGTACACCATTCATAGAACAAGCGTAGAGGGTTGGGATGCGTTGTATCATGCCCGAGTGCAGCAGTGGAACAATCTAGTTGCCATTTAGTTTTTCCCGTGTACACCTACCTTTTCTATGTGACTTTGTATTGTTATTGCTATTTTTTTTTCCATCTATTTAATTTTCGTATTCTAATTTATATCTTGCATGCAAACTAATTAGAACTTAAAATAATAATTTTAAAAACTAAAAAGATAATGTCAACTTTTACAAACAACTATGATAATGTACAAAATGTTATATAAAAGCACTGCCCACAGATCAGTAATCCCTCTGTGACGCCCATTGCCACTACTCAAGGGCCCGTTCCAGATCATCAATCGCCGCTCTGCCTGATGCATCCTTCATGCTGTCTCTCTTTTCAAAAATTCTGTGTGCCACCTGCGTCATCTTTCTCATCCACTACACACAACAAAACACATAAAATTCAATAACGACGTATTATATGAAAAAAAAAACACAACAAATGTTTTATGAGACGTACCGCATCCACGGCAGTGGCCGGTGGCACATCATCATCATCGGCGTCGTCGCTGTGGTGGAGGTCTCTGATCAACCTTGGGTGCGAGTGCCGGTTGTACCACTCCATGTAGTGCTGGTCACACATGGCAGTCACCCCAATTGGCGGCCGCAGACGTATTCCTTCGACGACGCAGATCAGACCGCCTTACTAAGCCATGCTAGTGGAGGGGGAACAACTTGGACAAATCCAAGCTGGCGAAGACAGCGTTGCGGCATGTACGCTTCTACGATCTCACGATACTGAATCAGTCCCGTGTAGAGGGTCCTGGGTACCCTATTACTAGGAATCTGGCCGAAAGGCATCCAGTTCACGTGCACATTTTTTAAAATTAGTAAGATTCATACAATAAACGCATCAAACTATAAAAGTAGAAATAATTTAAACACTTTACCTCTAATGGGGACATCCTGTCGAGCACTAACCGTATCGATCGCAGGCGGTCAATGGACTTCTTCTCGACACGCGAACTCCACGCACAGGCACGTGGCTGGCCATCCCCAATAGGAACCGGGTCGCGGTGTGGTCGAAACGCAAGAAAATACTCGTATATCCAGGTCTGTAACAACGTCAGACATCCAGTGATACCTGCCGCATCAGCCCAACTCGAGAATCCTAACTGGCGATACATATACGCCAACGTAGCCGACCCACAAGAAAACTGGCCTACTCTGTCGAGCTCACACGCGTCAACTATGTCGCGTGGCCTGGGCTTGTTTCCGCTCTTATCCGGAAACAAGGTACACCCGAGAAGAAGAAAAACATATGCAGCCAGCTGTGTGTCCTGCGTCCTACGTGCAGTGGGGTGCAAACATCGCTGCAAAACGGCTGCGATCTTAACACCGCCGTGATCCCACACACCAAGTGTCACTGTATACAGCGTAGCCCTATCCACCGCCAACAGCTCCGCTAGTAAATCTGCCTGATCCGCATCAGTGACAACAGATGCTCGGTTTCCCTCTACGGGAGTCCTAAGGATGGCCTTGACGTCATGCAACATGATCGTCGTCTCACCGAACGGAAGGTGGAAAGAGTTCGTATCTGGCTGCCATCACTCGACGAAAGCCGTGATCAGCGTCGAGTCAATCCTTTCGTGCATGGTGGCAGGAAGGTGACTCACTCTAGTGCCCCTCAATCGGCCGACCATCTCGCTCTTCTCCGGCCAAGCATCAACCCAACTACACAAAAAGTTACAAGTCTTTTTCCGGGTTTGGCATTTCAAAATGCCTGTATCCAAAGCCCTCTCCTGGTCCTCCCAGATACGGGTAGCGATGTGTCCTAGAAAGCTAGGAATCACACTCTCGTCTACAGGTCCCCCAGCCACCCCACCCCTCACCACCCAAGATTCATTAACGGCCCTCGACCATTCCCTGCTTACCGCAGACATAGTGGACGCAGAAGATGTGCCAGATCTACTAACAAATCTACCATCTCTACCCTTACGCACATCTACCCTACGCGTCTCATACATATCATCAAGCCTCTGACTGAATGGACCGTAATCATCATATGGTCCACTCTGATCGTCGACATCCTCATCTGCATCCTCCTCCTCCTCCTCCTCCTCATCACCATCATCATCTTCATCATCCTCAAAATAGTGCACGAGCCGAGGTCGAAATACCATGGGATCTAATGTGTCTGGCCCCGAGCTCTCCATTGAGCAGATCGTACTTCTCATAATGTCCATACTCTTCCCCGCACCAGGTCCAAAATGCGATGCCTAACTCTATGTAAATAACGAAAAATAATAACGAAAAAAATTCAATAAAGTCGAAAATGCACACAAAAACAAAAAAAACACCAAAACATACAATATGAACTTAAAAAAAAGTAAATACAAAATAAATAAATAAAAGAATACACAAATAATGGAAAAAAAATATAAACATAAAAAAAAATTAACAAATTTGAAAAAAAAATATAAACATAAAAAAAATTAACAAATTTGAAAAAAAAATATAAACATAAACAAAACAATATACCAAAAACAAAAAATATAAACAACAAACAAAAAAATGAAAAAGATAAAAAAAAAACAAAAAAAATCAAAAATACAAAGAAAAAACCAAAAAAAAAAAAAAAAAAAAAAAGGACACCGAAACAAAAAATAATAACCAAAAAAAATTGAAACAACACCCAAAACAAAAAAAAAATAATAATTTAAAAAATAAACAAAAAAAAATCCAAAAAAAATCCAAAAAAATAAATTACAAAAATTTAAAAGAATAAAAAAATGGAAAAAAATAATGAAAAAAAAGAAATAAATACATTTAAAAAAATTGAAAAAAAAAGGAGGTGGCGCCTAGGCTGGACGCCACTGCCACGGTTGCGGCGGGTGGCTGTGGCGTCTGGGTAAGGCGCCGCCACCTCTCCCGGTTGTTTTTTTAAAAAAAAAATTTAAATATACCTTTCCACTGCGAAACCGCCTTCCTCCTGCCACCGGTGCCGCCACTTCCTTGCCTTGCCGCCTCGACATTTTGGAAAAAAAATTTAGAGAGAGAAAATGACAGTAGAGAGTAGAGAAAAGATGAGAATGTGTTTTTTACTTTGAGGGCAAAAGTGGCATTTGACTTCAAATTTATGGGCTTTATGTATAGATTTGCAGGCGATGTTTAGCAGTTCACATTTGGATTTGTAATTCATGATTTATTACTCTACAATTGAAAAATTTCAAATAAAATATATGTTCTCAAACGCTACATTATACTCATTGTAGTGTACATTTTAGATATTGCTATTTGAAGTAAGTGTTCTTTTTAAAAAATATAGGCAACAAGATTTATTTTTCCTCCTTGTTTATATGTTTCTATTTCTAACCGTCAAATACAATCTCCAAGCATGATGGTCATCATTATTCACCTGAGCCACGTTACAAAATAAGATATTCATCAAAATATAGCCGTTTGGTGCCATTATTAATGTAATACACCTTATGATTGTTTTAAAAGGATTTAATATACTACTCATATTAACAAGGTGTATCTTTCTTTTAGGGAGCTCATATGCTAAGATACTCTATAGTTAAAGCGTGTTTGGATGAGAGTAGTCTTGGGATGGGTGACCTTGTGGGAAATTTTTTTGGGGTGCGCATGAGTGAGGACAAAATGCGTCGGAAGAGTTTCTGTTGGTTTGAGAGGACAATTTTTGGCCCTTCATGCGCATTTAGTGACAATAAGCCCCTTCCTAATTTGTTTGAGGTTGGGCGTGTTACAACGCCACCAATAGGGTCATAGAGCCATGCAATTCATTAGTTTCAAGGATGCTCTTGCATTAATTAGTGTCATGGTTTGAATGTTTTGACAACGGATCATAAAACGTGCTCTTCCTATCTATCGACAATGCCGGACACAAGCATTTTGAGGATACGAGACGGATGTGAATGAAGCAATACAAGCTAGCCTAGCATTTGCATGTCGATGGGCACTCCTAATTATTGCCTATTTTTTAAGAAGGGGACAAGCAATTGTCTATATCTTAATGGACATTGATCTATTGGTGATGGAGAAAGTGTGGGTGATCAGGGCTTATGATGGTCAAGTTAGTCAAGGTGAGCACAATCGAGTAACAGGTTTAGAAAGCACTTAAGGTGTGTTTTCTTCACCTTATTGGAACTGAATTTATTAAAACTTATTAGATTATATTATACTTATTAGACCTGAACGAATATTTACGACCTTATTGAATTAATGTCTAATTATCAAGTTGTGTATCAGAAAGTGTGACTGATCAAACTTTTGCAACGATAAAAATACAAAAGGAGCATTTTAAAAAAAAAAAATCCATGAATGAAATGCGTCTATCCACATCCAAGCAGAGGCAAAGTCCCACATATAAAGGCAGTGACTCGCTTACATCAAACGCAGACGGCTCTCGTTGTTGAGTGAAATCTAGGTTTTCTCATTTTCTCTCTCCTCCTCGATTCGTAACTGGTGAAGAAGAAGACGAAGACGCCGTAACCATGTCTGACGAAGAACACCAGTTCGAGTCCAAGGCCGATGCCGGTGCCTCCAAGACTTTCCCTCAGCAAGCTGGTACCATCCGTAAGAATGGTTACATCGTCATCAAGAATCGTCCTTGCAAGGTATATCCCTCCATTTTTTTGGGCTCAAATTACTCCTTGATTTCTCTGATTTTGTGGCTTTGTTGTTTTTTCTTAAATTTCATATTAAAGAGTGAAATTTTATCATTTGACTTTGCTTTTATCTCGGATTCTAGGGTTTTTGTGAGAATTTTTGTATTAATAATGATTGTTTTCGATTTCTGCTGCGATTTTTCCCCTTTTTATTATGTTTTTAGCCTGATTTCTATTTTATATATCTGGTAATATGGTTAGGGATTTCAGTTGAATATGAATATAATTGGGGTTTTTTTAAAGTCCTCATGTTTGGGTTTTCTTCATTGAGATTTTTATTTTATTTATTTATTTTTGTCGTAGAAATCGATTGCCCTGATAATTTATGAGGGATTTCAGTTGCGTAGGAAATCAGTCAGCTAGATTTACAAGGTTTTGGAACGCATTTCAATCTGTTTGGAGAGTTGGAAAATATACATATTTCTCCTGTTTTGGGAGAAACAAAAATGACACGAGACATGTTTTTTATTGTGTTAATTAACATGTTTTTGGAATATGTTGTTAATGGGAAACAATATATACAAGTACATTAATTTATTTATGCTGTATGTTATTGATGTTCGATGAAATCGTCTACTGTGGGCACAGGTTTTTTACGCCGGAGATGGCTGTTGATAAAGTTTTTGAGCTGTTGATGTGCAGACGTGAATGAATTTTTTGACTGTACTGTGTGTTTTCTTTCTGTGGTCCTATCAAATGGGCAATGGATGTTCTTGATTTTGGTTATTTCTTAGTCATTTGAAGATGAAGGGAAGAGAATCAAAAGAATTGTCATACTTGTCAGTGGCTTTTAGTAAAGGTTCTTGTGTTCCCGTGTCTTTCTGTTGGCAAGAGCACTTTTTTGATAACATCAAAGTTTAGAACTTCTGTTAGCATTGCAAGAAGTCAGAATGCTAACTGAAATCAAATTACTCACCACAAATCTTGTTTTGATACTACAGGTCGTTGAAGTATCCACTTCTAAGACCGGCAAGCACGGACATGCCAAATGTAACTTTGTTGGTATTGATATTTTCAATGGGAAGAAGCTTGAAGATATTGTTCCATCTTCTCACAATTGTGATGTATGGCCCTATCCATGTCTTCTTTCTTATTCATACTGTCCTTTCCTTGAACTAAGTGGAATTCATCAATGTTTTGCAGGTTCCCCATGTCACTCGTACCGATTATCAGCTCCTTGACATAACTGAGGATGGTTTTGTAAGTAAACTAGTCTTTAACGTGATTTTGTTTGGCTTTGTTCTTCAATATGTGGGTGTGTTTAACCAAAATAATATTTCAGGTCAGCCTGCTGACTGATAGTGGTGACACTAAGGATGACTTGAAGCTGCCAACTGATGAAGCTCTGCTGAAGCAGGTCTTTGTATACCAACACTGCTATTTTCCTTAGTATTCATTGTCCTTGTTAATACTCATGTCCCATTATACAATGACTCATCTGATGTCATTTAATAGCATAAAAATCTGGTGGGATGTATCATGTGCATTGTTTTTTGTTTTTCTTTTAATGGTAAACCAAACATGCATTTAATGAAGTTTTGGATATAGGGGTATTTATGAGGAAGTCCACGCCAATAATTACTCTCATCATCAATGACAATAATAAGTGTTCGTTGGTACTTTTAGATCTTAGTTGGTATAATATTGTACCAATGTGAGATCTGAAATTATCAACAGTCTTATTGGTGTTTTTTGATCTTACATTGGTATTGTACCAACATGAGGTCTAAAAATACCAACGGATACTTATTATTGTCATATATGACTAGAGTTATTATTGATATAGACAACCTTGGTATTTTATATGGGAAAGTAAAAAAAAAGTAATTAATGGCATGAAAAATGGTGTTTTATATGTGAAAGATATAAACATTGTAAGCTAAGTATAGAAAGATCATAAAGTGGCACAACAATTTGGTACACCCAAAATTAAATATAGACAACTAAATTTTGGGAGGGAGTTTTTAATGGTCTGATTATTGTTTTTGTTATCAAGCTTTTTATCTTTCGTTCTTTAAAAATTTCACAACTATGTGAAAAAGCCTATATTTTACTTCCCGTATATTGATTACAATTATTATTCTTGCAACTTGGGTGTCATTGTTTTTTAGAATGACCCAAACAGCTTCTAGCTGCCATGGCATTAAAAGGAACATCCTTGCCTTTTTGTAATAAAAAAAAAACCTTTGTGGTTTATTTTTCCTTTAGTGGCAATGTGTGTCACATAAAATTCTTACGTGCTTCACATTTGTTCTTACATTTCTGAACAAATTTGAATGCCACACACTTCTCTTTAAATTGAAATGAACTACTTGTTTTTATATATGATCTGATCAATGTATCAATCCTTTTTCGTCTAAACTGTCATATAATAGTCAATTGCTAAAATAACCTGTATTGCTTTGTATTTCACAGATCAAGGATGGATTTGCCGAGGGGAAAGACCTGATTGTGAGTGTGCAGTGTGCCATGGGAGAAGAACAGATCTGTGGTCTCAAGGATATTGGACCCAAGTAATTGACTGATCTGTTCAAGTTGCCTGACGCATTAGAGCGCGGAATGAAATATATTAATATTGATATTGTTAGCTTTACTCAGATTCCATGTGTTTGAGAATATGCTGGGAAAGACTTCAGTCATGGAGCCTCATGTTAGCTCCTCATCATAACTCTCTATGTTTGACTTGTTATTATCATCAAATTTTTACCTTATGTTTCCTGTTAATGATGTACTGGTGTGATATTGGGTTAGTCTATATGAAATCTTTTGCATTTTGTGAATCAAGTTTCTGCTGTCAGGTAGGTTTGAGAGCCAGCACTATGATACCACTATCACAAAAGGCCTGTTGTTGTTGAAGTGTCTGTAAGTAGAAGATCTCTGATTCTCACTGTTCAGTTGAGTTGGTACTTGGTAGGCGTAGTTCTCATATAAATGTGTAATCAGAATCATCAAATGGCCTTCAGTCTGATGATGGATTTTTAGGTAATTTCAATACAAAGAGGTTTTCCTATGTCGATTTTTGGTAGTAGGAAGATTTAATTCCAGTGAAAAAAGGAATGTTTTGATCACTTTTACTGGACGGTATTGTCATGTGTGGTAGATTGGTAGTAACTTAGCTTTGGTTCACTTTAGGAGGGCTGTTTGAGATCTCGGCTCTTGTATGTCAAATTGTCTATTAATTGTAGATCCAGTGGGAGTGATATTAGAGTGCTTGTTGGAGTGCAACTTCTTTAATACATCACTTGAAGCAAAGTTGAAGGTAAAATAAAGGTACGTTGTTCTTAAATTGGTAATGTGGAGATTGAAGAACATAATCAGCTAATAAGGATTTGGATGCATGGGAAGTAGGGAATGGAGAGAAAATTACTGGCTATTCGATCAACTGAATTGGATTGAAATAAGGTCTTGTTTTGCTGTCATTTAAATTCATGGGAAATTTGATTTCCTAAGAAATGAATATATGCATACTTGTTTGTCTGAGAATAATGTAGGAATTTAGACTTTTTAGGAAGTTCTACTCCCCACAAAATGGAGGAATTAACTTGCCTCTTTCTATGGGAAGTAGAAATTCCTACATTCAACTAAATAATTTTTGGAAATTTCTTGGAATTACAATTTCATAGGAATTTCTACTTCCCACATCCAACCAAACAAGGCCTAAATCTCATACTATATTACTCGTAGAATAATTAATAAAGGGACGGAAGGAGTAGAATATAGTAAACCACTTGACCATTAAACCCTATTGAATTATAACCATAAATATAATATTCATAGAGTACATAGAGAATCTTCAATAAAGTGATGTTAGCTAGGGGCTTTCCTCAAGCCAGTTCTGAAGCAGGATATGTTGTAAATCAATATGGTAATAAAAATAATTGCAATGTCTGCAAAAGAAGACAGATAAAACAAAGCTAATGATGCCTTTCCAACTTAGAAAAAACACTTTCCAACTCAATCAAATGTATTATGTACGTACAATAAGATCAAAACGTGGTAGTTTTTGAAGCCTTGTGCATTAAGAGAAATGCCTTGTTAAAGTTGTACAAGAGTCACAAATCAATTTTACCTTACATATCTTGGCCTAAAAACACAATAAGAAATACAGTATAGCTCTTCTCCATCAATTGATTCCATGGCTCCAAATATGCCTTCAGCCACCTCAGTATTATCAGCCTACACCACTTTTGCAGCGTCGATAATGGTGGTGAAAACAATGCTCAATGAAGTTCGAAACAACGCAAACCAAGTCATCCCTCAAACCCTTCAAGAAAAGATCATTGTGAAGTTCAGCCAACTATTCAAAATTCGTTTTACAGAGGAAGAAATCTTGACCATTAACATCAGTAGGCAATGTGACAGTCTCACCAAGAATGAAATCTACGAAGCTGCCCATACCTACTTGGGCACCAAAATCAACCACTCGAACAAGCGGCTTAAATTGAGCAAAGCACCGAGGGATAAAGACCTCTTAGTCAGCATTGACAAAGGGGAAGTGATCCTCGATTCCTTTGAAGGGATCACGTTGAGGTGGGTCAAGCTCGTGAGCGACGAGTTATCCCAAGGACATATGGGTCATAAAGTGAACATGTTGTCCATGGAGTTGAATTTCAACAAGCAACACAAGGATAAGGTTTTAGGGAGATACATTCCTTTTGTCTTGGAAACAGCTAAAAAAATTCAGGATGAAACCAGAGTAGTTAAGCTCTACAAAATAGGAGATCCCTTTAATGATCCGTCGTCAATCGACCTCCATCATCCATCAACATTCGACACGTTGGCCATGGAGCCTGAGGTTAAAAGGGCACTCATTGATGATCTTGATAAGTTTGTGAGGAGAAAGGAGTTTTATCACCGTGTCGGAAAGGTATGGAAGAGGGGTTATTTGCTGCATGGACCTCCAGGGACCGGGAAATCTAGCTTGGTTGCTGCCATGGCAAACTACCTAAAGTTCCACATTTATGACTTTGACCTCTCCAGGATTAAGCATGACATGGATTTTAGACGCTTGTTAGTTTCCACAACTAATCGGTCCATAATAGTGATCGAGGACATAGATTGTAGCTACACCAACTTTCATAACAGGCATCTGTCGTCTGGTGGAAACAAAGATACGAAGCAGACTAATGAAGGTTCAGGAGGTGACCATACATTGCCACTGGCGGGGCTGTTGAACTTCATTGATGGGCTGTGGTCAAGTTGTGGGGATGAGAGGATCATCGTGTTTACGACCAATTACAAGGAGAGGCTTGATCCAGCTTTGATAAGGCCAGGCCGAATGGATGTGCACATTCATATGTCTTATTTGACTTTCGGTGGATTTAAGATCTTATCATCCAACTACCTCAACATCAGTAGCCATGCTTTGTTCGCGCAAATTGAAGAGCTGTTAAAAGATGTACAGGTTACCCCTGCAGAAGCTGCACAGGAGCTGATGAAAAGCGATGATATTGATGAAGTGCTTGAAGGGTTTGAGCAGCTGCTCCTTAAGAAGGAAAAAGGCAAACAGGTTCAGGAAAATCTATAAATGCAAATTGGTACAGAAGTTATCAATTTGCACAGTTAAGATTTTCACTTTATCTTTAGAGCATTGTATATCTCTTTCAGATGAGAAGTTTAGAGTATTTATTCCTTAAATATGTATTGCTACTTGAAATCCTAATTGTTCACATCAATTAGATTATGTTCAACATGATTTGTAGAATGTATAAGAACAAGTCACATTACAGGTTCATGATTAAACCCATCATTCCTAAGATAATTATGTCAGGTTATGTAACTGTAACTCACACATCTGAACCGTTTCAAGCAGCCACAACCTTTTCAATCTAGAGTGTGCAAGCAATGCAACCATGAACCATCAAATACCCTAACATGGGTTTCAAAGAAGCTGTTATACACGCACAATGGATGCATGCAACGAATTCAGTGTAGAGGCATAAACCTCTTCCGAACAGAGAGCCTTGTCAAAATGATCTACTTGACTACAATAAGGGTATAAGCCCTGACAATAGCTTCACGATGGCACTCAGGTACTTGCAGTTGCAGTATCATGAGATCAAGTGTTTTTGTTCTCGACTACAAAGCTGCAATAGAAATCACAGTCAATCCGGTTCTTCATGAAAGAACAAGCAGGGAGGTAACCTGTCATTTATCAAAGGTGATACCAAAACACAGCATGATAATTAAAAATAATAATAAGATACTTGCAAACACAGTTGACTTTGTTCATGGTGTCAGCACATAAATAATTGGTGATAGAAATTAAATCTTGTTAGAGAAGCTTTGAAACCTCTCTTCTACATTACTCCGTATTAATTCATTAATACGAGTAATATTTTATGCACCTTGTTACAGAAGCTTTTTCTTGTCTATAATTTAGTAGTGTATATATCGTCTAGCTACTGGGCTCTGATTTCACAATACCAATTCAAAAATCCAAAAAGCTGAAGGCAACTGTGAGTGTAAAGCAGATTACTAATTCTCTAATTCACATTTTCTTCTCTGTTTGTAGTGGAGCCTATATATTTTAGCCTAAAAATTGCCTTCAGCAACATCAGTAGTATCACACCTAAGCATTAAAACCCATGGCTACAAATCTGCCTTCGGCCACATCCGTAGTATCAGCCTATACAGCTTTTGCAGCATCGGTGATGGTGGTGAAAACTGTGTTAAATGAATTCCAAAGCATCACATACCAAATAATCCCTCAAAACCTCCAAGAAAAGTTTGTTACGAAACTTGGGAAACTATTCCAAGTTCTTTTAACAGAAAAAGAAATCCTGACACTCAGCATTGATGAGCAATGTGACGGGCTCATGCAGAACCAAATATATGAAGCAGCCCAGGCCTACTTGAGCACTAAAATCAACCACTCGAATAAGCGGCTAAAGTTGAGCAAAGCAGTGAGAGATAAAGACTTCTCGGTCAGCATTGACAAAGGGGAGGAAATCCTCGATTCCTTTGAGGGGATCACATTGAGGTGGGTGATGCTGATCAGAAGCAAAAAATCACAAATGAAAGTGCATAGATCCATGGAGTTGAATTTTCACAAGCAACACAAGGAGAAGGTTCTTGGGAGATACATTCCTTTTGTGTTAAAAACTGCAAAAAGAATCCATGAAGAAAACAGAGTAGTTAAGCTCTACCAGCTCGGGGAATTCCATGATTTTGAGTCATCAATCAACCTTCAACATTCGACACATTGGCCCATGGAGCCCGAGGTTAAAAGGGTACTCATTGCGGATTTGGATAGGTTTGTGAGGAGGAGGGATTTTTATCACCGTGTGGGTAAAGTCTGGAAGAGGGGTTACTTGCTGCATGAACCTCCAGGGACCGGGAAATCTAGCTTGGTTGCTGCCATGGCAAACTACCTAAAGTTCCACATATATGACTTTGACCTCTCCAAGATGAGGTACAACTTGGATTTTAGGCAATTGTTGGTCTCCACTTCCAATCGGTCCATAATAGTGATCGAGGACATAGATTGCAGCACCAATAAGTTGCAGAACAGGCAACATCAGGCGTCTAGTGGTATTGGTGAAGACGGCACTACAGATATAAACTACAATAATGAAGGCTCAGGAGATGACCATTCATTACCTCTGGCGGGGCTGTTGAACTTCATCGATGGGCTGTGGTCAAGTTGTGGGGAGGAGAGGATCATTGTGTTCACAACCAACTACAAGGAGAGGCTTGATCCAGCTTTGATAAGACCAGGCCGAATGGACATGCACATTCATTTGTCTTATTTAACTTTTTGGTGGGTTTACAGTTTTAGCCTCTAACTATCTCAACATCGGTAGCCATCCTTTGTTCACTCAAATTGAAGAGCTGATCAAAGAGGTACAAGTTACCCCTGCAGCAGCAGCAGAGGAACTGATGAAAAGCGATGACATTGATGAAGCACTTGAAGGGTTTGTGCAGCTCCTCCTTAAGAAGAAAGAAGATGACCAGGCTCAGGGAAATCTATAAATTTATAGAGGTCCAGATATAATCAAGCACATCAAAGACTATTGTATCTACAGAATACTGTAGCTTCCTCTCAGAATGACAACTTTCATGTGATTCCTACCAAAATATTTTCTCATGAACTCAAAATTGCTTTCTTTTTTTTTTTTTTCACCTGGTACCTATATTACTTACAATTACAATTTTCAAACATTAACTAGATTAATATGATTCCATTGAATTTTATAAATCAAACAAACACTGATAAGTCAAGTTCTACATTTAAAACATAACTTTTGTCCCTCATTATGTCACATATCAATATTGATATTCCACTAGGAATAGCACTCTCTCCATTTACATAAATTTTTTAATTTGCTATAACGATTTGGTTTGAGTCCATTATGCTCGAATGCTCTATCAAAACTTAACTATCTACAAAAACTGCAAACCTTCAGAATGTCAACAAATTGTAATGAACATTAATTATCACTCAATTGTGCTATAGTTTGATACAGAAGAGACACAAACTGCATTTTGAGATGAGATCTAAAACTTGTCATTTCTAAATGTAATATAAAGAATAAACTGATGACACTGATAAAAACAATCCACTCTGTATGCTTATTGATTCATGCTATGGTTCTCTCTAGCAAAGCAAACAGTTTCCGCGGCTTATATAGGGGAAATACCAAAAAGGGTTACTGTCCAAAAATGGTGAGTTACGCTGATTTATGAGTTATGAAATTGCAGACAGAGTCAAGGATGTTATGCTTAGGTATATGGTAGTCAGTGATTACCAGAGGTAACGGATTATATATGATTATGCTGCCTCTGATGCACATGACAAGCTGTTGATAATTATTTTCTCATAAAACGGATGGCTGTACCCATCCAATCATCAGGAATTTTCCCTTTTACTTCCCCTTTTAAGGCCTTCAAGGAATGATCTGTGGCTGCCTGCAGCAGACAAAGATATTTCAAATGACAACACTTGCGATATTGAGTTAAAGGCAAAGAAGTTACAGCCAATATTGATTCTCAAACCCCTGGGAACCCATTTTCGAGGGGGGGGGGGGGAGAAGAGTTTTGTGGTTTTGGCCCTTTTGGGTAGTTTATAACAAAGAGAAAGATAGGTAGATTCAAAATTAGATTTCACTAGCCCCTCCAGAGACTTTTGCACCAAGCTTTACTCATAATCACTGGAAAATGTTCAATTGGCTTAGATAGAATCTCACAAGTGGGAAGAAGTGTTTACCTTTACGATATATACATCAATACCAAGTTTTGCAATAGCTGCTGCTTCGGAAATTTTGGTCACCATGCCTCCGGTTGTATCATGAGCAGCAACAGTTATCTCAACTGTATAACACAATAACTGGATGAGAAGCATATCACTTTTTATTCTTCATAGGGGCTAAATGTGAAATTTCCCCTGACTCATTTATTAGTGCAGAAGAATTTATCAATAGGTTTACTATAAATAGATCTAAGTAAGAAGCCACCATGTTCCCCAAAACCCTTGTCTCTCCTCCCACAGACACTCAATTATTCTATTTACAGCAATTTCTTATCATCTGCAACTACTATGTAAGAGCACATTTTCAGTGTAAACAGGGAAGCAACTGAAACCAAGCACTATGGAAATTTGATTAAAAACCAGGTAAGACAAGCACAAATTGATCTCAACTGTTAAGATGAACAAGATGAACTCATTAAATACAGTAGCTGCCTGTACGCACTGCATATTGAGTAGTAACTGTCTTCGTATATTTCAATTAGATGAAAATTTGAAATAATATAAGATTGAACTGTCGACAAAAAGATAAAATAAACAGAAATCAGCGTTCAATTATTCAGTCCACTGATGTCTTCTCAAATTCCTTCATGCATTAAATCACTCTACAGATCCTCAGTGTAGTTTCTTAGGCTTCAACTACTCACAGAAAGAGATGAAAGGATCCTAACAGAATTATCATAAATTTCAATGGTTGTATAGCATTCTATAATATGATCCATGATAAGTCAATACTCAGAAACATTCCAAAGCACTGAGATCAGAACTTAAATCATCCTGCAAATCATATACCTTGTTCATTTATAGATTTCGGGGCTGGATTCACAACACGCCAGCTTCCTTCTTCATCGACAGCTGTTAGAAGCTAAAATAGATCATGCATTTGTGTAGAAACATCATAATGATTACTCACATCTTAACTTTCAACTGAGAAGTCACAGAACAGTGCATTCCCCCAGAGACTGCTTACCTATCTCTTTTAACAACATTGCATCAGGTTCTGATGGCGGACGGTCATATACACCAAAAACATCTGTCTTGATAAACGATTGTATAGGAAAACTTTTATGAACTGCTAGCTGAAACAACGGTAATCAAGTGGTATATTCTTGGCTTAATTTAACATATTAGGTAGTGAACTGTATAATCATACCCAATCTCATACAAGAGCATTAGGTAACTATGTTTTCAGATAATTAATCATTTACTGATCAACAACACATGTTAAAAATGTCACAGTGAAGGGAGACGACATTCAAGATCTGATGGAAACAAAGCTAATAAACAGAATTTTTTTGGCATAAATGCCTATTTCATACTTAAACCTTTTACGCAAGAGTTTTAGTAGACCATCTCCACAAAAGATATACACACCAACAAAAGGGATACAAGGAAAACAACATATTCAGGCTTCAAGATTTCTGCAATATGCCGTATAATAACATCCCCACTCAAAATTGTGCAACCCTGTAGGTATAATTATGTAAGCAAGCACAGGAACATTATTTTAAACAGGTAAAGTAAAGAGCTAGACATATGATGACAAACCTGTGAATGATCAAGCACTGCATCCCCATGCAGGACCTAGTAATCAAGACAATATTAATGGTCATGCATGTATCAATCAAGATTTTTTAATGGCAGCTTGAATACACCAACAGCTACATGTCAAAGAAGAAAAATGCTATTTGTTGGTGTTATCTTTGGCACTGTAACAGCATACGAACATTGGACTTACAGGGATGAAGCCAGAGTCAATAGTTTTAGCCACCGTTGTGACATCAGCGGAAGCAACCTGTATATACAATGCTGCATTGATTAAATTAGGTTTATGGAGTAATCATGTCTAAAGGTATGTTCGCAGGAGAAAAGCATATGAGTTACAAAAATTGACATTATCAATAGTCACTAACATTTCTCTGAAATGTTGTCCATCCACCCGAAAATGGAGATATTCCAACTGAAGGGATACCCTCTGTAACAGAGCAGCAAGTTAGTTAATCACCGTATCTTTTACTCAAGCACATACGTAATATTCCTTCAAGTACTTATATGAAGCACTTAGTTGAAGATATGGATGTACGTAAAATAATTTGAGGCTTAAGTGTTTTGGAACAAGCTTAATAGCAGCAAATAATAGTTTAATTGCAAAACAAGAGTCCCTTTTCACCATCCGACAACTTTTTACTCCCAAACAAATAGGTAGCACAGATCAAGAAGCAGTATTCTTCTTGGTATCAATGTTTATTTACAATTTCAAACCTTTTGAAAACGGAGTGTTTTAAACCACAAGAAATAAAGTGTGGATTTCTATTGTAAGGTTTTAAAACTAACTAGTCTGGTACAGAATGAATAAACTTCATTATCCAAGCTTTTCATAGAATTGCCAATGGTTCCAGCCATTCCCTAGATTTTTTTTTTTAAGAAAAAGTAGATTAATATATACACCTCCACTTAACCAGGAAAATAAAATAAAAGGCAATCAAGATATATAGAAATTACTGCTACACTAAATTCACCTCGAGCTAGTGCCCTCACAATTTCAAGATTGAGTGATGCGACCTGTAAAAAAGAAACTAATGATACTCTTAAGAAACCACCATATAAAAAAGCTTTAATATGCGCTAGTCAAGGCAGCTTAGAAAGATAGCCACATCAGGCACAAGTTTTTATACTTTGACTGAGCCTTTTCAAGAATTTAGCAACTACAAACTAATGGACAAACTTATATCTTGCTGCAAATTTAGGGGGAATTCAACAACACTTACTGAAATTCTGGTCGCAACAAAGCCGGCTTTGACAAGAGACTGATCCAATCCTCCCTTGTGTACCCTTGATTTGCTGGCTTGAAAATGACCGAATGAGCCTATATAAGCAGGAAGGTTCATATACTTAGGATCACCAAAGAGGCATGCACATAGAATATATGAAAGCTCACTACGTCAAGCATTAGAATTACAATGCTTGACGAACTTTATAACTAATGGATGTTCACTACAGTCCACCCCACCAATGTCAAAATAAAACAGAACAAATGCATAGCTACTAAAACCTGAGTTAATCTTTTTGAAATATGGAAGAAATGTCTCTTGTAATGACCAGTTTTGCACTATAGCACAGAGACCATATGACTTCTGGTCCACTAGCTTGTCACAAACCACAATCTACCAAGACTATACACTATACAGGCTTCCAAATGATAAATGCCACTGATTTCAGATGACTTTTCAGATATTAAAATGCACAGTTACTCATCTACCTTCCTTAGTTCACTTTCAATGGTATCTCAGATCTCATACCTTTTCTCCCCTCAAGGCATTATTCTATAAAGAGGTGAAAGCTTAATCGAGTTCGACCACATAAATGATCAAAGCAAACTATAACACACACAGAAACAAGTAATCAAGATTCAAATATACTGGTCGAGGCTCGAGAATAATCTATATTTGATTTAACCTACTTAAGATGCAACATAGCCAACATTTCTAATCAACTACTAAATATAACTAGAATGGCAACAATCAAGTCTTCCAGTTGAATAATGCATCCAAAACAAAATGGTCATCCAAACGAGTCAACGAACCAGCTCCATGAACAACAACAAAGTTGCTGGACTCCATTGTTATTTGATCTGAAATGCCATCTACATTTACAGAAACATCTGCTTTCCCAGGCCTTTTACTCCAATCCATATCCACAACTTCACCAGACATCATTGCTTCTCTCAAGTGTATCGAAACCGCTCTCAGATTTTCTTCATTTATCTTCTCCAATTCATTCTTGCAAGTAATTGCTGCACCCCCTAAACTTGACAACAAACAAAATCTAAATCATTTTTTAATAAATCATAGCAACCAACACAGAATACCATATCTCATTTCCAGCATATAAACTGACCATACATGCCAACTTCAAAAAAACCCATATCCTATTCTAGTTTTTAACCGGATAATTCAATTTAATTAATGCATACGGAGCCAAACATTCAATGATGTAGGCGGGATTCAATCCTAAGTCTTGAGTTACCAGAGTACCACGAAACTTGACAACAGAGAAAATCTAAATCAACTTCTTAGAAATTAAAGCAACCAACACAAAATACCATATCTCATTTCCAGCATTTATACTGTAGACGAGATTCAACCCAAAGTTGTGGGTACCACCCATATTATCACCCCAAGACTTTAACCAACTAAACTAATCGGGCATTCACAAATTTCAATCAGATTCAAACACAACCAACCCACTTCCCATCTTAGTTCGTTGTCAATAATTAACATGAATAAAAGCTAATTAAAATGAGTAAAGTATGAAACAAAAGGAGGAGAGAGAATAGACCGAGCTTGACGATGCAGCGAAGAGGTGTAGTGAGTGGCGTTGGAGTGCCTTTCTCCATGAAAATCGTGGTTGATTTTGTGTAAAATCAATGATTGTGCTTCAGTTTAAATGCTGGAATTTTAGCAGTTTATCACTCAGATTTGCTCCGTAGGAAAAGGACATGCTTTCCCTTGCTTTCTTTGCTGAGTCTTGAGCTAAATGGCGACAATGCCCTTAAAAGGTTTTTATGAATACCATGCATAAAAAACATGTAAATAAATGGTAAAATAAAAAACATGCATGCCTCATGGTGGAACCGCTAATACCATTAACGATTTACCAAAAACGTGCATAGTTCTACCATAAACAATGTACATTATAAGTTGTTTATGTAGGCTTGTATTTTCTCATTCTTGCTCTTCTATTATGCTTTTAATCCCTTCTTGAGCTAGCTAATTATGCAATGAGAAAACACGTCATTTTAACGCATGCTTCCTTATAAAATTTGTCCATCCTTAATGTTTTTATTAATTTCTCCTAAGGAAGGATCTTTATTGAGGATCATAGGGGCCTAACACCCCTGTAATTTTTAAGATTAGTTAACATGCATATAGAATATGTTGTCTTATAAAGTTATAATTATTAAGTATTAAAAAGTGTATCACAGTGGTTAAGTAGTACGTACTAAAGGTTGAAGATTTAAACCTTGGCTCCATGTATTTTTTAGTCCAATATAAGCCACTAATTACCTCCCTAGCTAGATCCTAAAAGTTTTAGCCTATATCAAATATTGATAATTCTTTATTTATAGAAAGTTACCTTTGTATTGGTATTTTTATTAGAAAAAATTGACAAAAATAATACCAACTTTCGGCGGTTCGCTCAAAATAATCTCAACTTTGAATTATTTTTAAATAATCCGAACTTTGAGGGGTATTCGCTTTAAACGATCCCAACCGGTCACCGAACCTGTAATATTAAGTTACGAGGACACGTGGCACCACATGATTGGTTGAATTTTTGTTTTTTAAAAAAAAAATTGCTAAAAATAATCTCAACTTTCACGTATTCGCTATAAATAATCCCAACTTTGGATTATTATTAAATAATCCCAACTATGGGGGTCATTCGCTTAAAACAGTCCCATGTGACCGATAACCTGTTAAACTGGTAATTTTTTTTTTAAAGTTAATTGGCACTTGTCATAGCGTTAATGGTTGAAAATATATTAAAAAAATTATAAAAAAAAACTAAAAAAAATAAAAACAAAAAACCCAACCCCAAGCCCGACCCACGCAACCACTGTCGTCGGGCCCGCAACCGGCCTAGCGCAAGTCCCCAGCCTCAGCCTGCTGCGGCCAAACCCCCTCCCCCATGTCGGCACCGCCCTAACCAACGCCCCTTTCCCTCAAACAACCAATCATGCAGCCCTAAACCCGCCTGAAATCCTTAAACTACCTTCACCCCAGCCGCCCCTCCCCCACCATCAGAACCCTAGTGCTAGGGTTCCGATGGTGGTGGAGGGGCTGCTAGGGGTTTTTATGCGATGGAGGAGTTGATTTAGGGATTTTGGGTGGTCGTGGGTGGGATTTTGGGGGTTTTGGGCTGCAGGATTGGTGGTTTTGGGGGAAAGGGAGCTACCGTCACGGAGGAGGGGGTTTTGGCCTGCGCGTGGGTGGGGAATGGGGTTCCGACCGCCGCTGTTGTTGTGGAGAAGGTGGTTTGTGGGGAAGGTGGTTCGTGGGTGGTGGCTGGGCAATTCTTTTTTTTTTTTTTATTAGTTTTTCTCTTTTTTTTTCAATTTATGTAAGTTTTTTTTTTTTTTTTTAAAAAATTTATCAACCAATCACATGGTGACACGTGTCACCTTAACCAATTATAATAGGTTAATAACCGGTTAGGGACTGTTTTGAGCGAATACACCCCAAAGTTGGGATTATTTAAAGCGAATACGTGAAAGTTGAGATTATTTTTAGCAATTTTTCCAAAAAAAAAAAAATTAAAAAAGGACCAGCCATCGACAACCCTCAGTACCGCCGGCGTTAGCTGATTCCGGAGCCCCCAACCACCACCGCCGACCTTCCCTCACGCCGGCTTCCAGACCATCCTTTCCTCACGTCGGCGTCGGCGCTTCCCTCCTGCTTTCCCTTAAATTACCTAACCTCAAACGCAAATAAACCCGAAACCATAAAAAAACCCTAAACCATAATTAAAAAAAAAAAAAAAAAAAAAAAAAAAAAAAAAAAAACCAGCCTACCGCACAAACCCCCCAGATCGGCGCTCCCCCACCCTCGGAACCCTAGGCCCTAGGGTTCCGAGGGTGGGGGAGCGCCAATTTGGGGGGTTTGTGCGGTGGGCTGTTTTTTTTTTTTAAAGGTTACAGGTTTAGATTTGGAGGTTCACGGTGGGGGTTTAGGGGGAAAGGGCGCCAGGAAAAGGCGGAGCCGGCGGTTGGGGAGGGGGTGTCTGAGCTTGGCCGGTGGGAGGAGGGACGCCGCAGTGCCGGACTTGGGTGGTGGTGGGGTTGTCGTGGGTTGGGGTTGGGGCTGGGTGTTCTTTTTATTATTATTATCTATTTATTTTTAGCCATTCACATGGTGACACGTGTCACTTAAACCCCCCCCAAAAAAAAATACCTCTTTAATAAGTTACCGGTCACTTGGATCCATTTTGAGCGAATACCTTCCAAAGTTCGGATTATTTAAAAATAATCCAAAGTTGGGATTATTTTGAGAGAATGGGCGAAAGTTGGGATTATTTTTGTCAATTTTTCCTTTCTATTATGTGTGTGCAAATTAGTTGTAAATTTTCACACATCTTAAAGCAACAAAAGAGTATTAAAACAGAAAAGCAAAATAAAAAAATATATCAACATGCACTGAGTTTTTAGTTTTTCATAATTTCTTGTCTAATAATGAAAAATTGTCATCAATCACATAATAAAGTGATAAGTAATAGTTTGAATAAGAAAAAAAAATGTATTAATGTTAAAAATGCGTGAATTATATCTAATTTTGCTCAAACATATTTATTTAATTCAACAATCTAATGTTTATATATATATATATATATATATATATATATATATATATCGTGCAATAATATGTATGGGCATACACTGATTTCAGCCCAAAAAAATATAATCACATATATTATGGACTATATAAATAGTGCAAAAGTTCAATTATTACTATTATAAGCAATGGGTGAAAGTGTTTACTATTTCACAGACTATTAGGTAAGGCAGTTTGCACCCAATATTTGGTGCAGCACACTCCTTCTCTTCCCTTTTCTTTCTCTCTCTTCTGCTTTCACCAAATTCACCCAGCAATTTGTACAGCACACTCCTTCTTCTCTTTCTCTCTCCTCTACTTTCACCAAAATCACGTGGTTGGTGGCAATTGGTGGTCGATTTCCCGAGATGCGGCTGACTGGTGGTGGTAGATGGCAGCCCCGATGTTGTAGGCAGATAATTGCGACGAGGTAGAGTGCGGTGCAGGACGGTTGTACGGCTGGTGATGCCGTGGTAGGTGGGTTCGGTGGTGGGCGGAGGTTCGATTTGCATTGCATTTTTGGGTGATTTTGGTCGCAATTGCAATAATAGATCTAGGTTGAGGCTGCCAAGAGCTTGAACAATCATGCCCCACCTGATTTCGATAGATATTCGTAGAAGATATCTTCCAAAGAAAAGCACAAAGATGAAATAGCAATTTGCTTCTCGTATCAACGAATTAGAAGAGATGAATTTGTATACAAATATTAATCAATAAAAGGAACATATCAGCCAATTAATGTATAATAATTGGCAACATTAAGAACATATGAACATACCATACATGAGGCATTTTAAAGAAAGAAAAGTTATGTACCTATTGGTAATTAGTACATAACAGGGGCATAATGGTAACTTAGTATTAATTTTCAGGTTTTAATTATATCACTATAGTCATTTTAATACCATTACAACTATTATTATACCATTACACTCCAATGGCATAATTTCACAACCTAGTGGTAAAAATATATTAGCTTCAAAAATATACCATTAAATAACAATACAAATAAAAGGAACATATCAGCCAACAGATGAAACATATCAGCCAATAAAAGGAACATATCAACCAACATTAGGAACATATAAGCCAACAAAACTAATATATCAGCCATCAAAAGGATAAATGCTTTGTTTGGTAAAGAGCTTTTTGAAAAGCTTTTACCTTATTGAATACTATTTAGGGCTGTTCAGAGTGCAGTCTAGACCGCACCAAACAGCAAACCAAACCGCAATTTAGCGGTTTGGTGCGGTTTCTAAAAAAATTTAGAGCAAATCGCACTTTGCGGTTTGCGGTTTACGCTATTAAACCGCAAACCTTTTTACCATTTTCATCAAAAAAATATATAAAAAAACTTAAAAATATGATGTAATCTTTGACTATTAAGTAATTTAAGGTTAAAAAAAAAAGTTTAATATTCAAATTATAAGTTTATAATCACAAAATAAAGTATAAGTTTTTTTTAAAAAAAAGATATTTCTAATTTTAAAGAATGTGGTTAAACCGCACCGCACCAAACCGCATTTTGCGGTGCCGTTTGGTTATAAGTGCGGTTTAGAAAAAATGAAAACCGCAATATTGCAGTTTGGTGCGGTTAAGGAACCAAACCGCACCACGAACAACCTTAATACTATTAGAGGTTTGACCATTTTAAAAAGCTAATTTTGGAGTTTGGTAAATAACTTATTAAAAGAGCTTTTTGAATTAACTTATTAAACAATTAGCTTTTTTAGTATTAAATACACTGAAACATCTAATAATAAACAGCTATTTACCAAACACTTTTACACAACCAGCTATTTACAACTAACTAATCAAATCATCTAATATAATCAGCTAGTCAAACCAGTTAATATAATCAATTATATCAACCAGCGAACAACTAATTACCAAACAGGGCCAAAATCAACAAACAAAAGCAACATATAAGCCATCAAAATAAACATATCAGACAACAACAACAACAAAAAAAAAAAAAAAAAAAAAAAAAAAAAAAAAAAAAAAAAAAAACCATATAAGCCAACAAAATAAACATAACAGCCAACAAAATAAAGATATAAGCCAACTAAAGAAACAGATCAGTCAACTAATGTTTGATAGCAGCCAACAAAAGAATCATATCAAATATTTAAAAAAAACATATCAG